CCAGCTTTTTGTTTTTCAGATCTGCGAACACGTGTGCTGATGTCAGAGAACTACACGACGGCCCGCTATCGTATGCTACTCATCTCGGCTATACGGAAAGACATTAGTGATGAGTTCAAGCAGGTAATTGTTCAATAACATGTTTTATTTATTACCCCAAAAACTTTCAGCTTCTCGAACTGCAAATGAAAATAAAGTTTGGCGAATACGATGATGCCATAAACTATCTGAATGAAGTGTAAGAAATTTTTTTTGGTCTTTTTCTTTACTTGAGGAGGATTTACAGAATGCGCGACAACCGTGATTTCATTTACAAAGTTATCGAGATGGTTGCGGATGATTATACTCAGAGAGGCGTGGAGAATATGGAGGGGTTCGGATGTGAGTCAGCTCTTGTTCATTATCTATTGAGAACTGAGAATCTGATTTACTGAAGGATAAAAAAAGTCCACTTAGTGGTTATTGAATCAGAGTAAGCTAAGTGTTATCCCTTTTCTAGGTTTTTTCCAACACTATGAGATGGATCAAGGTGTAGCATTGTTCAAAAAAGCGGCTGACTCCAACCCAGCAAAAGCTAGTCCGATACTACTTGCTTTTCTAGCTATGCGTCCTCAAGCTTTCAATGCTATTTCGGTGATCACATTGAACCTTAATCTGAACACATCTATAGTTTTCTTGTTAATTTCGTTTAATTCAGGGATTCTTAATGGAAACATTACGGAAGTCCACAGAGCCTCCTCACGGCTTAGGTATGTTACGTTTTCAAGAAGAGATGCCCGAAATTTGGACGCATCTTCAGTCATTGAAATGAGTGCGGCCATCAAATTTTTTCAACATTTATTGAAAATTCAACTTGCTATCAGAAGAGTAGTATCTTTATTTTTTTTCCATTTTACCACTTCAGTGTCATTCGGGAATTCGCTGCTGACAATGAATTTTGGGAACTTGATGCCGGACGATATCCTTTTTGTTTGCGATTCAATTCTTCGGTCGGCATTTCGTGACTCGCTCGGCAACGTGGCTGGAGATAAGTACGTCCACAAAAATTCCAACTTCTAATCGATTTTACTCAAACATAGTCTCTTCTCAACTTTTAGATGTGTATAGATCAAATGAGAATATCACAATTTTATGTTAATTTATGTTCCTTTAGCTTCTGTGATATGAACATCAACTTTGCCAGCTTTTGCAAACTTCACGATAAAATCTAGCTCAAGATAGGCAATAGAAATGTAGGTATAGTAAAAAATTATGAGGTTACCTATGCGGTGGCGGATAACTAAAATTTTTAAGCATTTAACTGAGCAGAGCAAACAGTATTCGATGTCGCAGAGCCGAATTCGAATATTTGAGTAGTGAAATCGGAGGGCACGTATAGCTAGGTTATTTATTGAATTAAACGTATTTAGAATAGAAAAATACCATGCATAGTCATACTTTGAAACTCATAAAAAATTGAATGGCAAGCTTTTTGAAATTGTAAATAAATCGTTGAATGAATGAAATTGTAAATGTATTGAATAAATTGGAAATACAAAGAGTTATTCCTCAGATGTCCTAAGTCAAGCTACGCTGTTCGAAAAATGGTGTTGTAGCTACATAAAGCGAGAAACTTTCACACATATATGGAATTTGTATCGAAAGACCCATTATGCAAGTCTCAACATCTGCTACAAACTGCGCGCAGTGGAATTATCGTAACTTCGCACTGGCGCCACCACACCAGTGCATAGTTTTTTAA